AGAAATTGTGTTATTTCAACCGGTTCATTATAATTTTATAGATTAATAATATTTTTGTTTCTTGTAAATCTGTTTTAAAAATGCAAAAAAAATATATTAAAAAAATTATAAGTTTAATAAAAATTTACATATTGCATCCTCATATTTTAAGTTTCCATTCAATTAACTATTATTTCTCATCAGAAATAATTGAATTCAAAAATTTAATTATATAACAAATTATGTTTTAAAATTTTCAAAGTTAAAACAAGTAAAATAATAATTTAATATTAAAGACTTAGTTGATTAAATTTTTAATTGATTATATTGAAAAATATTTTAAAATGCCTATCCGATTCGCTTGATACATATAATTTTCGTATTTCAAAGTGCTTCTGAAAATAATATACATATAATATTGTGCATGCGGAATTTAATGCAAAAAATTAATTTTTATGTCAAAATTATGACAAAAATTTGAAAAAAAAAAAATTTTTATATATTTTTTTATATATTATTATAATATAATTTATGTGCTTATTATATGTACAATGCAAATATATGCAATAAAATTTTAAATATGCAATGATTATTCGATGAAAATATTGTGTCGTATGTGTGTAATAAAGGCAAATAACTAAAAAAGTTCTTTAAGTGAAATGTTTTTGAACTTTTAAAAAAATTTTTAATTTACTTAAATTTTCTTTTTTTAATTTTAATTTTTCTCTTATTTTTTTCTTTATTTTACATACTAGCGGCTTCTAGAAAGATATTTTATGTATTTTAGATGTATATATAGCAATTTTCAATTTGAATTTCAGATTTTTGATTTGATTATTAGATTATATTGTTGTTAAAACTAACATTTACAATAAAAGTAAAATTCAATTGACAAAGTCAAAGACTATAATATTAAGATTGTAAAGTAATAATGACAAACTGGGTTATTATAACAGTTTGGACAGATAAAACAGAGCAGATCAGTGTTAAAAATTATGTGATTTTAATTCTAAAGTTGATTTGGTTATCGAATATTGGAATATTGACAATGTGGTTATCGTCCATAATAATCTCTCAATTTTTGAATTGTTTAAAATCTGAAATATTAAATTAAAAATTTACTCTTTAGAATTAGAATTAAATTCAAATTGAAAATACTACATATACATACAATAAAAACGTATACAAATATATTATTGTTATTTATATATTTGTAAATATATTTATCATATATAGGAGTATATAAATTTAATTTATTTTTTTTATTTATTTTCTTATTTTAATTTCTTTAAAGGTTTTTTTATTTATTTTTTTTATTAAGAATATTTTTTTTTATGCTTGTGATTTTAATTTTTAATCAATTTGTACATAATATTTTTTTTTCCTTTGTCTATTTCTTAAGCAAATTCAATATAATTTTCTTTTGTTTTTAATATTTTTAATTTTAATTGTTATTTTAATATTTTAAAAGTATGATGTTCATTTGATTTTTATATAATAGCAGTAATCATACTTCTTTTATTTCAATTTAATTTTCTTTTATTATAAAATCGAAAGTAGCATAATTTTTTGGGGTGAAAAAATTTGACAATAAATGGAAACGAGACTGAAATTGGGAATATAAAGATGGGTTTAAATGAATTTTGAAAAAAAAACATTTGAATTAATTTTCTTATTACATTTCAATTCTTACAGGATGAAATTTTTTCATCCCCCTAAGTGCAATATTGAGATAATGGGTCAACACTGTCACATTCTAAAAGCGAATTTTTTCGTAAAGAATTAAAAAATAAATTAGAAATAAATTAAAAAATAATTGCTTATTATTTACATTTTTTTGTTTACAACTTGTATATGAAAAAAATTTCAAATTTGACAATTAACTAAAATTTTTGAAAACTCATATTCTAAAAATATTATTTTTATTTACATAAAAAACAGTGTTACCGCTTTCTCAATAAATTTTAATGAAAATTTTATTAAATTAAATATGTAATTTACAAAAACTGAAGTTTGTAATATACTCTACTGTATAGTTTTAATTTATCAATGATTATACAATTTCAATAAATAAAATAATTATGTTTAATCTTTTAATAATGTAAAAATGTATTATAAATTGGTAAAAAATAAATAAATAAAATAAAAAATTTTGAAATAAATAATTATAAAGCTCTAGAACTCCCAATAGCATGTGCTCAAACTTGCAATTTAATTGTTCTAATTTTAAATAAGAGTGTAAAATTTAATAATTTGGCTGTAGAAGATTTTAATATATTTTCTTTATATATCGTTAAATTTTGATATGTAAATGGAAGTTCAGTATTTTTAGTTTTCTTTTTTTTTTTCATTTTAAAGAATGCTTCTTTTACTTGTATTATAATATATAAAAAGCGGAAACCAATAATTATTATTTTATATTTTAAAGTATTTTTTTGTTTTTATTTTTAAGTAGGTATAATTAATAATTATCCTACTGGAGAAAATTTCTTTTATATTTAATTGAAATAAGAATTTTTAAATAATTTTTTTTCATCGATAATTATAAATGTACGATAATTACCTATGTATTTTTTAATTGTTGAATTTTTCATAGGAATTAGACTATAAATTTATTTAATTGAAAATTCACTAAATATTTATTGTGAATATTATTGAATTTTTTCTTTTTCAAATATTTTTTATATATAGTATTTTTGATTTTTTTCTTAAACTATTAAAAAATTGTTGTATTTTCAATTTTTTACATTTTTTTAATATTTTTTGTTTCGTTTATTATCATCATTTGGAATCTTATTATCTAATTATATAATCTAATTATATAGTTGTCCTTTTTTAATGTTTTTTAAATTTTGGTAATTTTTGATTTTCTTTTTTGTTAGGTTCTTACTTACTTAATTATTTATTATACATAATTGCATTAAAAAAAGTTATTATAGTTTTTTAAGTTTGTTTTAAAAATAGTTTAATAGATTTATACAGTTTATACAAATTAAAAAATAAGAGTTTTTTTTTTCTTTATTTCTGTGTTTTTCTTTTTTTAATTAAAAAGTTCCTATTTCAAAAGAATTCATCATTATGTAATATAAATTTCGATTGTTTAAACAAGTCATATTTTATAATAGTTTACAATAATATTTGTGTATCCATATATATAGCAATTATATATGTATATATATGTAGTTACTTATATATATAAAATTGAAATTAAAAGTTGAATAACTTTCGAAATATACTTGTGTATATAAAATATATTAGTTTTTTGTTTTTTGTTTTTTTGATAGTCTTTGCTTATGTATGTAGGTACTTATATATCTTAAAATTAAAGCATAATTTTTTAAATTTACCATAAGTATAATTTTATATTCTTGTTTTTCTGTGTATTATTATTATAAATGTATAAATTCCATAATTTTCAGCTTTAATCACGAAGACAAAAATTCTTTGTTTTTAATATATATTTTTTTTTTTGTTAAATTTCTCTTTAGTTAAATTAATATTTGTTGAAAAGCTACGTAAAGTTTCTCATTTAACTTTTAATTGTGGCCTATTCTGAATATCGAATCACTAAGCGGTAGTGATATTTATCGTAATAGTTTCAAAAACTTTATTATAAACACAAATCATTTGTTTGTGTTTACAATAAAAATATCGAACTTTTTACGATAATTAACACAATCATTTAGTGATTTGATAGTCATAATAAGCCCCCATTATTACATAATGTATGGGAAACGAAAACTGTATTTCAGAAGTACAGTTCTAACCTCAATTTGACTAAATTTATTTACTCAATAAGGTTAATTGAAATTAAACCTGCATAATTAAGAAACAAATGTAGAATAAAAAATTGAAATTATTTACAAATCTCTGGTATCAAAAATTTTAATTTATAAATTTATTCAATGTGTTTATGAAAATCAAAATAACTATTTAGTGCAAAAAGAAACAATCACATACTCTACAATCTCTTTCACAACTCCATTTTTTCAACAATATGACATTACATTCAATTTGTGCAATAAATTTACTGATTTTCAAAATTAATTTAATTAAAAATTAGTGTATTTAATATGCATTATATATAATAATATTATTTTCCGAAAATATAATTATAATAAACATTTATAAATTATTTATGAAAATAATAGTAAAAATTTTACGAATTTATTAATTATTAACATTCTTTTTTGATTTAATTAAAGAAATGTGCATGTTTTTATATATATATATAAATCGATTTTATTGTATCGATATTTTATTATACGAATTATAATTTACATAGCTTACATACCTAACATTTAAGTTAGAAAACCACATAGCGAAACCAATTTCTTGAAAAAAATAATAATAATATTAAATGGCAAACCATTTTTAAATATTTTATTTCGTTCAAAATTTTTTATTAAAATATAATGAAAATAAAATTTTATAGTCTTTTTTTTATAGTATTTACATTTTGTTCGAATTGTTCGTTTTTACTTTTATTAACGAATGCCATTTATAATGAATATAGATTATTATTATTTTTATTATTATAAAGCATTAAATAACACACATAATTTCTTTTATTATATTATATTTTTTTGGTAGCTTTTCGGTTTTATAATAGAGAGTTAACTTACTCTGAGAAGCGTATCATTTCGAAGATTATAGAGTGTAAGAATAAATGAGGCAAACGGCTGCTTAAGCAATAGTGTATAAATTAATATGACAAAAATTTTTCTCAAAAATAGAAAAGTATACTGAAAAATTTTTATGTCATAATTTTCGATTACAATATAAAAACGTTCACAAAAGTAAGGTATAGCGATACGCTTCTTAGTATAAGATCTAATATATGTATGTATGTATATGTATGTATATATAATATTCTTAATTTATATAAGTCATAATAGGTATATTTCACATTGTTTTTTTGTTCCAATAATTTATATTATTTTACAAGTTATTTAATTGGAATACAAGTATTTTAAATTAATTTTTTTAAATTTCTTGAAATTTATTAAAAATTCTTTGTTAAATATTAAAAATAAAATGAAATTGTTTCGATTCTTAATTATTTATTCAAATTTAAACATTTTTAAATATTTATTAATAAAATGAACAAAATTAAAAAATTGTATATATGGTATTACAATTAAATGACATCTTGAAAAAAATTAGCGTCAACCTCGACCTAAACCAATATTTAAGACGTAATGTGTATTATACGTAAGTAAATTTCTACGTATGCATTTATTCTTTTGTAAAACCGTATCAATTTTTAATTACATTACTTTTAAACGCAAGAAATACTGTTGTGCCATAGCTTCTTGTAGCTCAAATTAAAGTACATAATATATGAATGTGAAAATATTTTGGCCGAAAATATACGCAATACGCATTCGATTGAGTCGACGCAGAAATAATAAATTTTAATTATTAATAATTTTATGGCAATTTAGAATTTAGTGAACTTTAGAATTAATTAATCAATTTACACAACAAAAACAATAATATATAAGTAAAATACTTAATAAGTTATTAAATAATTAATAATTAATTATTTAAATTAAGAAATATTCACATTCATATTAAAAATATATTGTATTTCGTTAGATTTGTATTAATTTTATTATTTTTCTTTCAGGCTTTTATAACCCAAATAAATTATTATAATTTTTTATAATTTTACATTGCCAATTTGGTCATTAGAAATTAAATTTTTTTAAGCACATTTTCTGTACATAATTTTGTGTTTTGTTTTCTACAAAATATTTAGTGTTTATTAATATTTTTGTATGAATATATATTTTCTCAAAAATTTAAGCTTTAGTTTTTTACGTAATTGTTTTTTTTTTTTTATATTTTTTGGAAAACTACATCCTATGTATTTTCAATACAAATGTTATAAAATTATGTTGACAATCTGGCTTTTTGTTTGCGTACAAAATCAATGGCTAATTTGTCAGTAGTTCTTGACTCAAGAATTTGTAAAATGGGATGATCTAAAATTAAAAATGGAAAAATTTAATTAAAAACTTCTTAAATGTTAAATAATTAAATATTAAATGATAACAAATAACAACGGGAAGTAATTCTGGAAATGGCTGGAATGAAGTGTTCAACTTTTCTTTTCCGCATTCATGCAAAATCCTAAAACTTACTTTTATCATGTTGTTGTAATAATGGTAACTCAACATGTTTTAAACCATGAAAATTTTCTACGCTTGTACTATAATCAGCAACTCCTGGTATTGTTCCCAATGCCAAAAAAGCTTCCCCAGCAAAATCATTTGATGTTAGAACATCATGATCCATAACGGTAAAAGCAATCATAGCCTCATCCTTTAAACATTGATCTAATGTTACCGAAAATTCAAAACATTCATCAAAGATAGGATTTAGTGTTTTCTGAAAAAAAAATTTTATTGTATTAATATTATAAATTTTTGTTACCAAAAGACTACAAGGCATTAAGAAATTTAAATTTTCATAAATTTATACTTACTTTATGAACGTTAGTTTGTTGTTCACTACAGTGATTAAAAATTCGGCGCGGCAATAATTCTAAAATCACAAAAGGATCACTAAATCCATTCGGATCTAAAGGAAGAATATCCTTTGCATGTAATACTTCAACACATAATGAATCATGATTAAAATATGCTCGTACAGCTAATGAACCATATGGTCCAGGAGTTGGTGCAATTAATTGTTCTTGTAATCTTTGTAAATAAAAAAGATCAATAAGTTTCTCCGTTTCCGTTTTATGATATTGTAATCTTTGTTCAACACGCCAAAAACTATCCGAATGCAAATTTTCCATTGCTAAACCTAAACCATCAGCATTAAAAAATTCTACAAGAAGTTGAAGTGCTTCATGTAATCTATCATGAAAATTTAAGGGACGATCATCAGCGCCTGTATCCATTTGACGAGTTAATTCAGATAAAACAGTATTCCAAATAAGATTTAAAGCTCGATTAAAATTTTTAGTTAGCAATGCACTATTCAAGGCAGAAAGGTGATTATCAAGATATTCTAAAAGAGGGATGATTGCTTGATTAGCAGGCAAAGAATCTGGAGACCAAGCTAAATGAAAAACCGCTTTTTGAAGTGGCATTTGCATTAGTGGGCATAATTTCGATAGAATCCGTTCGGTACGCATTTCTAATTGGGAGAGACTTGATTCAAGCAACGTTTCTGCATTATCATGTAATAGTTGACCATCAGGTCTAAAATCTGATAATGCCCGTCGTACATATTCCAAATTATTAACTGTGACACACATTTCATCTGAAATTCTAAATGGACCCTGTTGTTCATAATATCCGCTGTCAGCTAATGCTTGATGTATTAAGTCACAGTAATGCATTGCTGCAGAGCATGCAGCATCAATTAATTGTGCTTCAAAATGGGGAGCCGTATTTAAATCCGACCATTGTAACATTTTCCAAAATTCTCGCATCTGATAAAAACATGATGCTGTATCAACTGAAGATGTGCTATGTCTTACAATTCTTTCACCTTCACAAATTTGATCCAATTGTATTGAAGAACGGACACGTTGCAGAGCTTTTGTTTTGCTTAATACCATCCATCTTTCTAAAACAGGAATAAACCATTCAAAATAATTTTGCAATGCAAGAGGTTTTTCGGGCGGTTGTGGTTGACACGACAAATTTTGTTTGTATGTAGAAAATTCTTGAAGTGCCAAATAAAGTTCAAACGGGCGAATATCTGCTATTTCTTTATTGTTTTCCATAAAAGTAAACTGAGACAAAGCACTTCCTAAACCAGGAATTTGTCCACTCTCCATTCTAGAAATTATTTCTTCAGCAAGCATGGCATCGAACTGCTTGTAAATTATGCTGAAGTATTGTATCCCATTCGTACTTGAAATGGTAAAAATAATGATTAAATATTTTAAAATGTAGATTAGGAATTAAGTCTTAAATAAAATCTGTATAAGGAATTTTATACTTTTAAATAGATTGCCATATTGATTTTACTTACGTGTCAAAATATGAATGATAATATGTTAAACCCATCTGTATATCGGCTATAATTATACTTGTAAAATTGACTAAAGGATTTGGAGATCGTTGAGAATCTCTTAAATGAGTTTGTGCCCATTGTATTGATCCCTTTCTTAAAGCGCCAACAATTTCACCTCTTACACCTTTACTAAAAGGGCAAACTTGACGAAATGCTTTCATAGAACCTAAAAGTCCTAAACATCGTAACAAAAACTCTAATCGTACTAATGATGGTGAATGTAAAGCAGGAAATATATCACGATGTTTTCGAATCTGCTCAAGTGATGTTTCAATAAATGTTGTCATAGATTCTGCAATCCATTGTTGAAGTTCTATTGATAAAATTTCGTTGTTCGGTTGATTCCATGTCTTATCAACTTCTATTAATAATCTATGTAGGAATTTGGGATCAATTGATGTTGTACAATTTAAACGAATTGCTGCAGCGAATCTACAAATATATTAACATTTATAATAGGTTTTTTTATTCAAATAATTGAATAGGAATATAATATACCTTGCTAAAGAACAATGTAAATCTGACAAATCTGCTTGTACAGCCATTTGGTGTAATATTGTTAGAGCGGGTCCAGGTAATTCTCCACACCATGTCCAAGATGGTTCATGTGTCCTGATCTCATATTGCATAAATGCTAAATATAATTTTTCCATCTTGCTTATTTCAACAGAATTATCTTCTTCCGATGTTCCATGATCTTCACGTGTTGACAACCATAATTTTAAACGAATTCTACCTTGAACTGTACTTCGTTGACTTCTTGCTTCCAATTTGAACCAACCTTCTAAACCTGTGGAAGGTATATCTATAATTGGTATATTAACAGCTCCCAAAAAATCATCTTGAGATCCTTGACGAGCTGATTGGCAAACTTGTTTAAAAAATCGTCCTAAACCGCGTACACCTCGAACTTCATTTAAACGTGATACTGCATCTATAACACACGTTTCATCATCATGATCCCATATATCAAGATGGAAAATGTCACTATTTATATCTTCAATGTCACTATCAAATATGAAAAATAGAAAAACCATGTTCAATTTTAATAAGACTCATTGCGTTATGAGCATAATGGAAAAGTTACAATGAAACTTTTTTATATAATTAAAATTTAAAATAATTATTGTTTTAAGTTGTAATTATTGGTCCTAACTTACAATTTAAATTTTTCATTCCATTTTGGGCAAAGTGTATGAGGTTTTATTGATGTTGCTCTAATATATTTTGCTGGAACAGGTCCACTTAAGGAATCACGTTGTTCTCTTCTAGTTCCACCATCTTTTCTTTTAAAACTTAAACGAAAGCTATGTTTACGATGATTTGGTGAATCTGACATATCAAAACCACCAGCCATATCTGTTGATAAATTTCTTGGTGTTGATGGTAAAGGTGAAATAGGTGTTGCCGCTTCAGATGGTTGAATGCCAAGCATACAATACGGGTCACTAAAGCCTAAAAGAATAAATATTTTTTTTATTAAAATATTTTTTATAGATTAAGATGATTTTACTATATACGAAATATAATTTATATTTTGAGTAAAGAATAGATTATTTTAAATAGAACAAGAAAAAAATCTACTTTAAAAATTTTATCTATAATAATAAATATTAGTAATAATTATAATTAATATAAAAATATTTAAACTAAGCCATTAATAATAACCTGCTTATATAAACAATTTTAAGAAAAAGTATAATGTTAATATAAAAAATGTATATACTATAAAATTTATTAAGATTTACAATTTTTTTGCTAACAAAAGCAAGTGCTTTAAAATGTGCAAAAATGCTATATACAATAATATATTGCAAAATTTATTTTAATAAAATTTTATAATATTAGAAACGTACTATTCATATCATATTTATGTGCTCATTTTTAAATTTGAGAGGGTGAGAATGATTTGCTTTCTAGTATCGTACCGTGTGCAATGTATGGCACGAGATCGGATTTATGGTGGGTCCGTTCTGAGCTGACGTAGGACAAAGAGCTTCTCTGTGATTATGACCAGAAAAGGTATAGGAAAATAATAGGAATGGATACGAACCAGCTGAGAAAGCTCACGGATCTCCTAATGGTACATTCCTGAATCCTATGAGAAGGTTGAGCCTGGAAGGCGAAGGCACTTGTAGATTCTGTGCAGAAATTGAGAAAATTTAAATGCACCTTCTCGGTGAAAATGAAGCGTTCAACTACAGTAGAAGGAAGTCTCTAGGTGGTTACGTCCTCGAACAAGGGAGTTACAGAAAGATACCCGAATTAACCCGGAAGGGTAAGTCTCGAAAAAGTGCCTTAGGCGTTACAGGTAGAACGGAGAGCGCATAACAAATCCACTTCCTGACCCGCGGTGAATTGTACCCCATGTCTAGTCTAATCTTATTTAATCTTATCTAATTGATATTTTAATAGTTTAATTTAAATATTTATTTATTAACGATTAAGTACACAATAAAGATTAAGCATTTAGCGCCCGAACCGTCTGCAAAAATCAACCGAAATAAAATCGTTAAAATATAACACATTTTATCTTATGATATTCAATTATATGTATCAAGGCCACGATGCTCCCAAATGCACACATTTTACGATCTACAACGTGGAATTTCAACAATTCTGCTATATAGTCACAACTATAATATTAGCATACACCATTAAAATGAGCATATAAATATGAAATTTCTAATACTATACAAAAAAAAAAAATTATATGTGAATAAAATTACATAATCATATATACTAAGTATGTTTTATAAATTATTATATATATGAAAATGAAAATTGAGTATCACTATATTTATGAATTTAAATAAAAGAGCTGTTAAATAATTTATTACTTTAATAATGAATTAAACCATTTAATTATAACAAAATTACCATAACTTTTAATTTTAAAATAATTATATACTATTATATCACTATAAATCACTTTAATATATATACTAATCAAGTAATCGTCAATAAAGTAATTGCATACAATGTAGTTTATAAATATAATTACTTTCAACATACTATGTATAATAATATAGGCAATAATTTTACAAATATAACTAAAATAATTAGTTAAAAATATAAAAAAATTTATAATTATTTCCGATAATCGTATACAAGAGATTATATACTTTTAATGTATTAAATAAATGCATTTACTTTTAATATATACAAATGTATATTATTATATGTATATGAGTAGTATACATATATACAAACTTTTATATACGATTAAATCAACTATAATTATTTACTCTGCTAATTTTTATACGATTAAAATCAAGCAAAACATAAAAACCAAAAAATTTTGTTTTTTTTTTTTAAATATGGAGTTAAATGTAATGCAAACTAAATATCAACATATACAAATCGATATACAGTCGAATCCGCTTATTATAACATCGAAAATAGCTAGATTTTTCTTATAAAAACCCTTAATTATATGCACAAACTTGTCTTTTAAGCTGGTTTTATTCTCATTTACGTAACGTGACAAAAATTTCAAAAATAAATGACATTTCGAGTAGATAATTTTGTTTAAGCTTATTGAAGTATAATTTATGGCAAACTGTTATGTCAGAATTGAATTTTGAATCAAATTAAAATTTTTTTGTTTAAGGATCTCAATAAAAAGAAGAAAGAGGTAAATGCGACAAATTCATTTGTGTTTATAAAAGAATTTTGCTTACAACCGATGAATATCATAAGGAAGAGACGTGTAAATTACTAAATGAAAAAGTAGGAAAATGTATAAAACCAATTTCGTTGAGCTAATAAAGGAGTTTTGATTTTACGCGAGTTTCTTATATACGGTTCCGACTGTATAATATAACTATAACCTTGATATATCAATTTTATAGGTGTTATATGTGCATGATTACTTTAGAAATTTTTTAAAGTCACGAATTTTTTTTTTTTCATATGTAATATTTTTAATAACAGATTCTAATTTTTTAATTATTGAAAATTTGTATAAATGTAGTAATAATGAAATGTTGTGATTTATAAAATTACAAAAAATGGTAAAATTTTATATAAATATAGTGAAAATAAATAATTGTTATACATTATTATTGTAATTATATATTATTTTTAGTTGATTTTATGTGGTGATTTGATAAATTAAAACTATTATATACGATTATTAAAATATGTGATTATAACAGTTTATTTTTAACGTTTTTGGAAAATATTTTAGATGAAATTTTGTTTATTAATTAACCATATGTCTGTCTGTTCACAAAACTTTTGTCCGTTTTTAAAAACTGATACTTGATTGCTGATTTAAACCAGATTTCCTAATAAATACTTAATAAGAATAATTTCTGCCGTAGATAGGAACTCTTAAAGAGCTTAAAATATTAATAATTTATAAATACTTTATTCAATAATTTTTGCTATCCCATCTTCCTCCTACTCCTATAAATTTTTTTACTACAAAATTTTGCAAATTAAAATTGAGTGCTTTAAATAAAACAAATTATTAATTCAATTAAATTTTTATGGTATAAAATAAAATTTCTCAAAAACATTGTTTCAAGATTCCTAACAGCTATATGCAATATTATATAGTAACGGGTATTTAAGTTCAATTCTATTACGCTTTGATTATTGCAATTTAAAAATTCAAAAAAACTAAACTTAAAATTAATTTTGAAGACAATAATTTTATAATGCTATAAGTATTTAATGACCCTTTGAAAAACAAAATTGGTGCATAGTGCTAATGAATTTTTGTTTTATAAAACTTGTAAATTGTACAAAATTATAAGGAACAAGTTAAAATACAATTCTACGAATATATCATTTTCTATATTTTATTCTTCTAATTTCAGCATAATTGTAAAAACAGAATTAAAGCGATGAGTTGCAAGGACGAATTATTTCTGTTGTTATCTCAGAACAAGAGCGGAACGAGGAAATCAATTGAACAGTATTTTGCATATAATGTCACACAAACACATGGAAACAAATAACTAATATTTCACTGTCGGCGGTGAAATTCGCGATGATAATTTTCACTCCATTCAGGTTAATCCCATATGAATATGTTTATTCTATAATTTACATTTGGCCGCGGAAAATCACTCTTGTTCTGTTTTTAACTTATGAGTGACTTGCTTGTTTGTCACTTCATTTTACTTTTTTCTTTTTAAAATACCAAATGTCAAAAATCTTCAAACCATCAAATGAAGTATGAGCGAGTTATCACCGTGAATAATTTGTGTCATGTTGATTTTACCGCTTTTTTATATACATGTGTCAAAATAAAATATAATATTATAATTTGTATTGTTTTCAACAGCGTGTTTCTCTTATAAAATTAAAATATACTACAATATAACATTAAAAATTAATATAAAAAAATATTGTTTTAGAAATTGGCTTATCATTATTATAAATGACTGTATAACAATAATTACAGCTCTATTATTTAAAATCAATGAATATTGTATAATATAAGTAAAATTCTATAATTATTTTTATATAATGAATAACAAAAAATATGTATAATTTATAAAATTATAAAATAAATAAGAATTATATATAAATGTTTACTATATGTATAATATTATGTATAATAACTGCTATATATATGAATAATAATAATAAATATTAATTGAAAAGAAAAAAAAGCATATTTTTTTTTGTTTTGTTAGAGTATAAAACATTGGTATAAAATATTTACCAATTGCGATGTTTCAAAATTGTTTGAATTTTTTTTTTTTTACACATATTTTTAAAAACATAAAATCTTAAAATGTTTTCTTTCCTCATTTTTGTAATGCCATAATAATTCACATTATTTTATATAGTTTAATGTATACCACAATTCTTTCTATATATTTAAACACTTAAGTAAAACATTTCCATAATATATATATATATAAAAAAAAAAAAAAACAATTAAAAACATTATTTCATTTTTTTTTTTTTAATAATTTGCAATCATTATCATAGATGCAATCATTTATTTCTAGATTCAAAATGCAGTGAAAAACTGTAAATTTTATAGAAAAAAAAAATTATATATCTAATAACTAAAAAAAATCAGAAATTGGCAAATTTCTATTATATTTATTTTAAAATTTATTAATATAAAAATTAATTTTATTTTAATTAAAAATATTAAAATAGAAAAGTGAGAACAAGCATTGTGCGTCAAATTTCAGTTGTAATACACATAATGTATGTACGTATACGCTGTGTTTTAAAATGTGAGAAATAATTTGAATGTGGGGTACAAGTTAACATTAGTTATTTAATAAATATTTTATAAAATTAGGAAATATTTGTGTTAGCAATGCTGTTAACTATGTTAATATTATTGATTTGTTACAGAAAAGATGTGTCAAAAGAAAATTAGAATAAATGAGTAGTCAGGTAATGATGCGACGTTAAAAAACACCTCACTTTTGTGTTTAGACGTTAAAAAAAGAAAAATAAATTTGGAACAAATCTAATGGTTTGTAATAATAGTTTCTCTTCAACAAATGAAAATACTGCTTTAAAAAACAATTTACTACATTATTAAAATTATTTTCAAAAATATACCGAAATATATAAAAAAATTTGCATACTTTTAGGATAAAAAGAAAAGCTGAAAGAAGCGTTAACATGATCGAATGCAATAGTTAAGTGTGTAAGCTAAGGCAAATAATTATATTTTTTGATGAACGTGAAATTTAACTTTAGTTTTTCGTTTTTGCAGTTTCAGAAAAATAAAGCGGCAAAAATTCAATATTACAAAATTTTGGAAGACGATAACTTTTAAATTGGGTTAGATAGAATTCTTCTCGAAAAAAAATCTCTTCTAATTGAAGAAATTATTTATTAAAAAAAAAGGAGCTGCAAAAGCGGAGCTGATTCATATTAATCTTTGGGGGCATGGAGAAATATTTATCAATGAAAGTGTAGAAGTCAAAAAAAGCAAATTAATTTAATAAAATAGTTATAATGACCGAATCTCCACTACTCAGTTATATTTAACCTAATCATTTACTATCAAAAAAAAGTGCAATTAAAACTATCTAGTGATTGTTTTGCTTTTTGTGCAGTTGTTTTAGTTTCTCTATATCAGCCTCTAATTTAAATCATGTGCGTGCTTTAAAATAACAGGAGTTTTCATAAATGCAATATATTGCGATATATAGTTAAAACAGCGATATATAGTCAAAATTACGATAATTGTAGAAAATATATTGCGTATCAATAACATTATTGTTTTGCCAAATTGTGTTTATGAAAATTTTTAACATTTAGTAGTTTTGTCTAATTTTTTTTAAATCTAAATCTATTAAAAATTTTCATTTCACATTGTTGTTTACCGTATTAAGTGTGTGTGATTTGACTTTCTATAGAAATAATAATTATTGTGTAAAAAATTCATTTAAATTTAAATATTTAATAATTTAAATTAAATTAAGAAATCCTTATAAAAGAAATTTGCCAATTAATTGATTTAATAAATATTTTTTGTTTTACTTTAAAATAGTTATCCAAGTATAATATAACATGATAGTATATATATATATGTATTATTTTATTACTAAATATTATATATATATATTTATAAAAAGATCATGTTGTCCAAAATATTATTTTATTTTCACCTTCATAATATTCATATTCATCAAAGCTGCTTGATCCTGGATATGGTTTAGGTCACATCATATTATATCTCTGACAGTGATTTCTATTAACATAAGCTGAATGCAGCTCTGGATTGTAACATGCAGGATTGTAACGTACTACTATAGTAGGTGTTTAACACATTTTGAAGATTTTTGATTTAAGAATTTTTTTTTTTTTTTGCAATTTTTTTTTTACCAAAAGAAAAGAGACACAGTAAATAGAGAAAGAGTGCACATATTATAGAAAAAAATTATACACTGTTTTTTTTTTTACTTATCTTGTATATAATATAGATTTCATATATATATATAGAGAGAGAGTATTTTATCAATTCAAAAATAACTTCTTATATAAAAAATATTAATAAGAAATATATATAGAGCTATTTTTTGTGCAAATATATAAAATATATATATGTATAGAGAGAGAGAGAGAGAGAGTTTCTTACATTTATAGAAAGAAATTTTTTTTTTTTTTTTTTTTTTGGTTGGTTTTGTAGAATTAAGAAAAATAAATTTATTTTTTCAACTTACCATTTGCATCCTTTGCCTCTAATCCTTCTGCTTCAATAACAATTACTGATAGAACAATTATTTTAGGTTTTTCTTCTGCAGCTGCATGTAAAAGACGATAATGCCTTTCAGATGGTATACCAAATGTACGTTGAGCATGAAGATACATTTCATCTTTATAGTGTGTATACTGCAAAAAAAATTAATAAATGCGGATGAAAGCAAATGTTTTATAAAGTAGCACATTTCCTTTGAACAAGTGAAAGTGTGTGTTTTTTTTTTATTGAAATATACCAAAATAACATCATGTTAAAAATTATTATTGCATACTTCTCGGATTAGAATAAAAACTGAAAGAACAAATTTTATGCTTACTTCTATACCGTTAAATATTTATTCTTAAATATTTACCGTTATACTTAAATATTCACCGTTACTTTTTTAGAAATTTTCTTATTTACAAAGGGATTTGAGAAAGTTTACGTCACTATTTGGAAAAAATAATGTTCTGAAAACTGAAGTGCTGTTAATTGTGAAATGGTACTGCTTTTAGGGAGAAGAAGGTAGTAAAGTTTTTCATTCGCAACGAAAGAAATTAATTGTCAATGTGCAGAAGTTATTCAAAATTTTATACATTTGTAGAATTGTGAAAAGATTTCTAAATTTTTAATGAAAATTTTAGTTATGAAAGGGTTTAAAAGTTTTATAAACAAAACAGAGAAACGAACAGACAGAGTGAAATTAATGAGCAAATTATTTTTTAAATTTTGTCAGAAATATGCTTAAATAAATAAATTTTGTAATTTATAATTAAACATGAGAATTATTTTTACAATAAAGGAGCAACAGCACTCTGTCAATAATTTTCAAATTACACAATATTCTGTTTGCCTCCAGGTTCAATTTTTAATTAAGATTTTGTATAAAAACAAAAAATAAAATAAAACTAAAGAAAGAAAAATATTATAAAGGATATTCACTTGACTCTGTAGCCTGTTTGACGGGCACATTAAATATAAATAAACAAAGACTAAAATTAAATATAAAATGTAATTATATAAAAATGTTATAATAATTAAGAATTAAAATGAGACGATGTTAATATACGCATTTAATTAAAAAACAAAAAAAAAATTTTAATGCAACATACAAAAAATATTGTTAATACGATTCTTAGTATTCAGGCATTTTGAGGATGTTTTTTTGTTATATTCGTAAACGGTATGCATTAAGCAAAATGAATATTGCTTTATTGTATGCTTGGATACCTGAAAGAAATTTCGACAATTTAAAGAAAAAAATTTAAAATTTTGTTAATTTCATAAAATACCCGAGTATTTTGCAATGTTTATATCTGCAACAGTAGGATACTTTACATTTACGTCAGATACGTTTAGTACATTAAGAATATAGTATACTGACACATATAGTATACTGACATAATTAAGTTTGTGCATATGTGCATATGGCTTTGGGTGTCAGTTAATTATGTAATGAAAACTATTTTGTGAAGAAAACTCTCTTTATATCATTTAATTTGACATATGAGTTTGAAAGGAATTTTGCATACCTTTGGGAGGAAATTCTACTTTAATAGTAATCAAATTATATACAGTACATTGTTAAGTTTACTTTAGACATTATATAGTATAATATAAGCTATATATTTTTGGACCAGGTTACTGTTGAAGTTTTCAAAGAAATAGGTCGAATATCGGGCTCAAAGAGGTTAAATATTTCGTTTTTTAGAAAACTGCAATTTGGTAAGCATTAGACTTACTTAAATTTCCTGAATTAAAGTATTAACTTGTGCTTACAATAATTTTAATAAAGAATCTGTATAGTATAAAGAAAATTTTAATTTGTAGGTTAGAATAAACACTATACATAAACGTGTTTATGAAATTGGTTCTTCCTTTTCTTTCAAAAAATATTCATATGTGAGTGTATAGAAGTGTATCTATACTTCAAGAGTAATAAAAATGCTTAAAAAACCAAAAACAATTTTGTTTTAAAATTTATGTTATTGTTAAGGTATATTTAGAACACAGTAAAACCAATATTTTATTAAGATATGATCAATAATAACAATAAAGATAACAATATTTCATCGAAAAACGCATATAGACGCAATAATCGTACCGTGTAAATATAAAAGAATATTTTTTTTTATCTATATTCTGGGAATCATTAAGTCAATTAATAACAACAAAAAGCCATAATTCACCTCCAGAATAATTTATAGTCAATGACAGTATAATAAATATTATTATATTCTGACATTCTCATATCTCCGTTTTGTGACACACTAAATTGGATAGCACTTATTTTAATATTCATAAGAATTAAATTTTTTGATAACAACAAAATAAAATATTCTTTGCACAATAAATTAAAATCGTAAAATTTAAATTCTTGAAATTGAATTTTTTTTTTTTTTGCAAAATTATCTTAATCCCCAAGTTACTACACTATTAAATGAATTGGAAGCTTTAGGCTTCATTTTATATATCCTCGCTTTTATAAAGTATTTCTCTTTAGCTTTAAATTTACAAGGAAAGTTGACGTAAAATTAAGTGTGAATTTTTCAACACACACACACACACACCAGTCAAGAATACAAAATTAAATATTAAAATAAAAACACGAACTTGATCATAATCATAATAACTTATTATACAGAAAAAACAAAATACAAAAAAAAATGAAATTAAATTAAATTTTATATATGTACCTGTCCTCCAGGTGCAGGTGCTCCAACTGTATTAGCTATTGTATGTAATACTTCAACATATAATTTCTCTTTCTCTTCTAAACTTTCCAAAATCTCTTCACTTTTATTATGTTCATTTTCTTGAATTGTTTCAGCACGTGTTTCTGCATCACGTATAGCAGACATTCTTCGATTTTCTCTTTTCCATGCTAACGCAGTAAAACTTTCAAAATAAGATCCATCCGTTTCTTGAACACTTTTAAAAAAAAAAATAAAATACAAATAATAATTAGAATTTAATAAAAATCAATAATTTACTTATATAATAAAAATTATTACTTATGTTAATATTGAAATTCTTTATAAAAATAATGGAAACTTCTAAAAAATATTAATAAGCTATTTCAATTCAGAAGTAATTTTATTAGATTTTAGAATTTTAAAAGGACAATAGTTTAAAATCTCAGGTAAAATCAACGGAAATGTCAAAATACGTACATTAAAAAACATAAAAGAGCAAAATTTTAAAATTATACACTAGAGGGCCTTCGAGTATAGACTAGATCGAAAATAATTTAAATGAGCAAAAAATATCACTTAAAAAACATGGAAAAATTTTATCCAATGCTCCAATACAAACTAATATGCATTGTTAGTTGAAAATAACATATTATTATGGAGCTTATTTTGAGAAGCTTTTCATTAAGTAACAGTAGGTAAGTTGTATCACTATCAAATTTCAAGTAATATATTATATTGTTAATAAAAATATTAATTTCGAAGACAGGTTGAAGGGATATGGTACCAAAGTCGTTCAGAAAACGATAATGTAGAAAATAATCGATCAGTACGTCAGGACGACGATACTAGAAGAGGTTTTACTCAAATACATGCTCAACTACGTATATGGATGTATAACATGCTACCGTCAAGAAAAGCCACAATTTCAGAGGACAAAAGACTATAGCCGTTCTTTCAACCAGAGTATGTCCACAAGGAGAGGTACAATCTCCCTTAATGTGTAGTTTGGTTGTAAACAGACCACCCACGGGGGTGCATGGGTAAAGAATTGGGTTCCAAGCCTATGCGGATGACGTTGTCATTTTTCGAGTTAAATTCGGAGAAGTTTTGTGTGATATCATACAAAGGGGCCGCAAATAACGCAGAAATAGTGCTCTACGGTTGAATCCGGCCAAGACCACGTTGGGGCCTTTCACTAGAAGAAGAAGTCTGGCGGGTTTGCGTGCAATAGTACTGCATGAACAAACTGTTGAACTGAAGGAGGATGTCAAATATTTGGGTTTAAAAGCTTCGGTGGAACAAACACGAAGAGGTGCTAAAATTTAAAATAAAATTTTCAAAATTTTTACGATAAAATATCAATGAAGTCATTTGTAATGGTGATTCATTTCTTCGAATAGTATTCGAACTAAATTTAATTTATTCAAGATTAATTCAATAATTCATTTCTGGGACAAATTGTGAATAAACGAGTTTTTAAGTATATTCAGAATACCACTTACCCTGATGTTGATCTAGAATCAACTTCCGGCCATGATAATCTTCTTTTGCAAAATGCTAAAGGTGGTTTTTCTGGTGGAGTTTTGTGAACTGGTGATGTTTTTTGACGAAATGAACCACCACGTGGCGGTACAATACATTCTGATCCCCTGGATGATTGTCTTCTTGTATTGAAACATTGTGTAGGTGATGTACCAGGTGGTGGTATAACTTTTGGAAAACCTAAAACAATAAAAAAAAACAAAATATAATTATGGAAATATTTTAATATTCACAATAATTTATGAGTGATCACATTGACATATTCAGCGTTACAAGACAAGAAAAACAAAAAAAAAAAACAGTAGAAATAAGTTCTCTAAAATGAAGTATAGATGTCATTATTTTTATATGTATAATTTTTTTTGTGAGATAAATTTGTATTTATGTACATTTATATTATAAAGATGCCATTGCAATGTGCACATCAATTCAGAACACAAAAAAAAAAGAAGACTAAAATTAAAAAAAAAAAATTAAAAAATTAAAAAAACATCATACTCAGTCATAATAATTTTAACTAGCTTATTTATATTTTATACAAGTAAACAATATAAATTGTTTATAAGCAAAGTTATATGAAATTTACATAAATTAAAAAAAAAAAAAAACAAATTTCGAAGAAAAAAATCAGTGTTTTTAGATTCGTTGGATTTTTTTTTTTTTTTTTTTTTGTATATATATATTTATTTATGTATACCACAAGAAATGTACCACAACAATATACATCAAAGTAGCAGGCGGTAGTTTATAATAGTAGAATTTACATAACCATTTATATATAAAATGTCACTATATATAAACTTACCATGCACATGAGGAGATGTACTTAATGGTGAATTAACTGTTGTATTGATATTACCTAAACTGGAGCTATTATTACCACTTTGAGAATTATTGCCACTAGATTGATTACCACTATTTAAAGTGGATGTAATTTTATCTCCAATTTGATTATTAATACTTTCAGCTGAATCACCGCGTGAAAAACGACGTGCACTTAATCCTAAACCAGCTACCCCACTTGTAACATATTGTTGTAATGAGCTAAAAAAACTCATTTTTCTCGAATCCTTCCTCTATATATATATATATATATATATATATATATATATATGTATATTACAATTCTTAATTTTAGAAGGAGAGGCTGAGTGGTGGGGTTGCGGTTGGCGGGAAATAATTTTTGTTTTTATTTTTCTTTTCAAACTTCTTGAAAAACTCTTCTTTTGTTTTTTTTTTTTTTTTTGGTTCTCTTTGTGCTATATGCTAGAAGAGTTTATGAATTTGTGTTGTAAAAATCTTATATGTATATTTGGCCCGGGCTCAATATACCAATATTCAGCTCCTTTTTTGGTTTTTACAACATTTATTTTATTTTTAATTATTTAATTTCACTTTATATTTAAATTATGTATAATATTTATTTGTAAAATATATATAAGAATCCATTATTTAATTTATTACTTACATAATATGTATATGTGATGTATAACTCTTTTATATATATTTACAAATAACACTAAAGCTTTCTTATACAAATACTCAATTTATACTTTTATTCTTTTCAAAAAAAAAAAATATTATATAATTTTTGCGATGCTGCTATGGCTTCTCTAATAGGCTTCTAATTTTATTGTTTAAATATTTTATTTTATTTTTTTAATTTCTTGATTAATTTCGCTAAATAATTGGTCTAAATATTCGTGTTTCTTTTGTTTTTTTGTTTAAATTTTTAAATCAAATTTCGCCATTGTGTTTCAAATTCACTCCTTTAATATATATAAAAAAAATTAAATAGAATACATAAGATATATGTAAAAGTATAACATCTTTAAATGGAAACGAAATAATAAAACAGAAAAAATAACGTAAATAAAAATCCTGTAAGTACCACAAAAAAAAAAAAAATTAAAAAGAAGAAGAAAACAACAAAAAAAAAATTAATTAAATATGTTGAACAAAATATCCTTTTTAACCTTATATATGTATATATATATAATTTACAGGTGGTATTAGGTGTCAAACATAGATTTTATCAAAAAGAAGAAGAAGAAGAAGAAAAAAAACACAAAATCTAATTGATTACTTTTATATTATATAAGATGGTCGGTCGGTCTAAGTATGTAGTACTTATTTTTTGTTTTTCTTTTTTTTTTTTATCGATTTATACTTTAACTCTTATTCTGGGGTGGTAGCACGTAACTTTGTTTCGACTATTATTCAAATCGTTTCGTTGTTTTCATTTTGTTTTGCAAATTTTTGGTACTACGTAAGAATTTGTATCGAGTATTTTTTTTTTTTAGTCAATTCAAAAAAATTTGTACGATAACGAATGAATGATCACCGAGGTAAATTTTTCAACACAAAGAAAAAGAAATTTCAAATAATATAATTAAATGCTTCGGAAATAAATCCGAAAACGCACGATTCATTTATTGTAAATTAAAAATACTATTGTCATCTAACGGAAACAAATGATGTAACCGCACAGTTCATTTACGAATGCTACAATTAAATTGTTGTTTCAAATTTATTCGAAACCAGTTACGTTCTGCCACTCCTGGTTTTAATACGATGTATACGTAATTATATACTGACACCTCACTACTATGAACACATATGTTAAATACATATGACAAATTAAATTTCATATAAAAAAGAACAATTTGAAAATAAGTCACTTAATTAAGTCATGTGACTTTAATATATTTTGACGTTATATATTTCATTGCTGCCAAGAATATTTAATTAATAAAATACATTTAATTCGATTTTTTTCTTTAAAATTTACTTATAGCATAATATGTGTTCTCTATGATACGTCGGTATAAGCAGTTACGTAACTCTTCCATAATACCGACGATACTAATGCATATACTGTAAGCAGACGCAAATATATATTGTAAGATTATTGTAATGAAAAATCTAAATTTAACTCAGAACTTATATTGATTATATTGTTAATCAACTTAAAATTTATTAAATAAAAATATGAGATCCGAAATATCAATAAATTATAATAGTTTTATAGGTCTTCTGTCAGAATTTTCCATTCTGTAAGTAATTAGAGCGTTAAGAGTCAACTGATATATTATAGAATTCAAAATATTTTCAATAATTTAATTAGAAATTTCTTACACGCGGATCCTATTTTCACTTCAAAATTAGTTTTTCTTTGCAAAATCCATTATATTTAATTTAAGACGCACAAAAAATTACTGAGAATATTATTTGATTTTTTGTTTTGAAACTCGTAAATTATTCTATATCTAATTAATAGATTTAGTAATAATATAAAATTGATTAATTCTGTGGTTACTAGAAACAATTCTAATTGTATATTCTGTTGAAAATTGAATAATGTATACATTTAATAAGTTCCGAAATTAGATGGAACAATTAAACCTTAATTTTGAAAACAATTTTGTGTCAACAGTTTTGTATCTGGCTAAGTCATATTTCTCTATAGAAACCACCGAATTATTTGAATGTTTTGTAGAAACAGTGAAATTTTGTGTTTACGGAGTTTACTTGTTGCAACGGGCAATGTGACTATTGCAGTATTTCTCTAAAATATATTTCAATTCAATTCTTTATTTAGAAAGATTTAAAATTTTAAAATCTGCCCCCACTTTAATTCAACATTTTAGAAAAGAGCTGCCGGTTTTGTTAAAAAAAAAATTATTAAAGTAAATTTAGAAAAATTTCCGTTTAATTTTCTCAACATTTTTTTGTTTTTCTTGAAAAAAATTAAATCACATGTGCTTATATTGTAAATACGTGCTTATTAAATATTTTTTGGAAATTTTCACGTTCATTTTTAATATTTATTGGTTGAAGACGTCCTTTTAATGCTTTCGTATTTGTCATCATTTTTCGTTTTATCTTTAATCTTGCAATTAATCATTTTTATTTAAAATATATTATCAACCATCATTATTATGTTTTTCTCTGTTTTCGTCTTTTTTCACTGAATGAAGTTAAAATTCCTAGAAATCTGAAGTGATTTAAAATATTGTCATATTTCTGTCATTCTATATGTTTATCAAGAACATATTTACATAAAAAAAAAATTGATATTATCATAATATAAACAGCTCGTATCCTTGTAATAAATTTAATAATGTTTGTATACAATCTTAAAATAAATATATTTATATATATATATATGTATGTATACATATAAAGAATATTGTTTTATACTTTTTAAAAGCTTTTCGGATTTTAATTAACAATCTTTTTATACACACAAAAATTCTTGGAACAATTTTAAAAATATATTAAAATTTTCATATTTTTTATAATATATTATACTTTTTAAATTTATAACAAATAATTTTTAATAGTACATATAACACTCAATAGCATTTGAACGTTTTTACTGAAAGATGTTGAAATTGCTCCTCTGGTGGCCTAAGAAGTTCGTATTGAACGCATTTATCGCATAATTTTTGATCTCCTCTACAGTCACTCATATTTATTATAGTGATATCTTTTGAATGCTTCACTTATCACTAATACATTTATGTACATAATATGTATATAAAACGCCACTTTAGTGACATCTGTGTGACATATTTTGTGAGAAAATTTTAAACTCTAATTCTACATTAAATTGTTTACAAATCATATTACTAAATTTCTAAAATATAATTCAGAAAATTTTTTATATTTGTATATACAAAAATCTATTGTACTATATCTATGTGTATGTGTTTAAGAGAATATTTTGTGCATCTTGAAATCTAATCTTTACATAATAAACTCATAACAAGATTACGTGTTATTTAGAAATATTTTTTTTAAATCTCTTCTAAATACTATAGGTATATGTGCACTAAATGAACAAGAATTAATTCATAAACCGTATTAAATAAATAAATAAATATTATGGTAGGTAGCTATACTCTTGAGTTACTGTTATTCTGATTCTTACTACATTTACATTTTTTTATTGAATTAATATAGTTTTTAGTAGATACCTTACAGTGTTATTTAATATGTTTGTTAGACTCTTTTTGAATCCGAAATTAGTACACTTCAGTCCAAAGAAAAATGAATAAATAAGAGTAATTGTGAAAATTTATTCCGATAGAAATTTTTCGAAAGAACCGCGCTTCAAATTGATTGACTCCAAAAAAAAAAGAGAAGGTTCTTCACGCGCTTTCAACAACCTAGACCCGCCAGAAAATACGAAAATACATTTAGGGTACAAATGTATAAAACAGCCGAAATTGCAGAGTAGTTTAAATTTTGTTACTAAAACTAACCTATATAAATAAAATTTAATATTACAAAAGAATTTATGACGTTTATTTGTCATGTAAAAATATTCTCGTATAATGTCAATTATCTCAATAATTACGCGTAACTAATAACTATACTTATCTCTAACTACACGTTTATAAAGACTGATTTAAACGGGAGTGTACCATACTCAGAGTTTCTTAAACTTAGAGTAGTATATGGGTTTTTAAATAGAACACTAACATTAATTCAAATTAATTTATTATATTAATTTTATTATACGATATATTCTTATTAATAAATGTCAAATTCTTACTATATTTATAGTCTACAACCAACCATTCTCTATATATTCACAATTTCTATTTCTCAACTGTACTCTTTGCTACAATATGCTCTCTTTAAACATATTGCCGTTGCCATAACATAATATTAGAATTTCTTTTTCAAATTTTTTTGTCAGTGTGAATTAAACTCAAATTTTTATCTAATTTAATATGGAAATATATATATGTTCTACATATTAAAATTATATAATATGAATGATATTGTGGTATTCTTTATATATATGTATATATATAAGTAGTATAATGATAAATATGTACTCGTATACATGACACGTATACAATTATAATTTATTAGTGATAAATATAATATGCGGTTAGATTAATAAGAAAACAAAATTCTTTATCGTCATTATAATCTAAAATATATATATATATAATGAAATTTAAAAAGGGTAATGTAATGATTATATAATACTTCTAATTTTCATATGATATATAATATATATATATATATATATATATATATTCAAATAGGATCCTATATTTAGTTCACTTTTTGTAAAATAAGATTTGCGGAAATTTTATAATTTATCTAAGATCTTCTCCTATACTACTATATAAAAAAAATCCTTATTTTGTAAACAAAATAAGTTTATTATTAAGTAATTATGTCATTTATATAAATATCTACATAATATATACGTATATATAAGTATATATATATATATATTAAATTTTATAATTATGTTTATCTATTCATTATATTGAAAATGTATCTTTTATATACATATATACTTATGGTTATTATACAAGTATTTAATATGGTATCCATAATTATTTACACAAAACAAAAGAAAAATATTATGTAACAAAAACCACATTTACTTAATAAACCACATCAATGGAATCAAATATTATCACATCATTACAGATACACATGTATCAATGTATATATATATATATATATATATATATATTTAGTGGAAAATAACAAAAGTCAAAAACATCAAAGTTAAATTCAAATTAATTTTGATAAGTATCTGCTGTTGAATATAAAAGCATTTTGATGCAACAATATTATTATGTATAAATTAACGATATAACAGTTCAGATCAAAATTTTTTGAATAATATTGAAAATTTTGATATTTTTTGTTAATTTGGATGACTCAGGCAGACATGCAAGTTTTGATTTTACAACTGTTTAATTGCTTATTTGTATTCTATAGGTTCAAT